CCTAGCTCTCTCTACAAATAGAGGAAGATCTGGCATCAGAGAGAGACTTAAAGGACTGCTAGTCTCTCAACTTTCTCTCACAGATGTGAGTTGCACTAAGCCATTTATAGTGCTTCTAATTTAACGATTTCTTGTATTGTATATTTATCTGTATATGATTTAACAGTTCATTTCTCATAAATCTAATTATCTTTATGATTTAACATTTCATTTTTCGTTATATATTATCTTTATAAATAAATATATTATATTATCAGGAATTTGGTTTTATCTCTCTAGAGAACCCTGTCTAACACAGGTCTATGTACATATATTTATAGGTTTAGTATGAAGGTAGCAGATGGATATTGGGCCTCTACTCAAGTCCTCCCTCAACTAAAGAACAATTTGTTTTAATAACCTGGCATTCTGTGATGCTCACCTTTCCAACAAGATCACTGAAGAAAAAATGGGTGCTTAAGCTACTGTGGTAAAGAAAGCTGATGGTGCCCGGCTATTACAAGATATAGTGTCTGGGGCCTTAAAGGCTTGAAGTTAAGCAAGAGGCCATCTATCAGGAAAGCAACAAAGCCCACATGGAAGAAGCACACCAATTTGTATGACCACAAGGTATCGATGGGATCATGTATCAGATATCAGAAGACCCAAAGCCCTTCTGTAGACAATTGGACATCCCCTCACAGAAGGGCCACAGGAAGGGATAAGGCAGCCAGGATGCAGTGTAGCACTCGCGAAACACACAAAATTCCTCAAGTTCTTGAATGCAACACCCGCCCCCCCTCCCCAGCCCCCAACTATCATGAACCCAGTTCTATCTTACAGATCTGGCTAGGCCAGAGCATGTACACTGGTACAGTTAAGAGCTTTCAACACAGAATCTAGGACAGATAAACCCGCCAGGACCAATAATGAGAGTAGCAATACCATGATGGTAGGAAGAAGGTGTGGGGAGAAAGAGGGTAACCGATCACAATGATCGCTGTACAACACCCATCCTGCAAGGAGGCGAACAACAGAACTGTGGGTGAAGGGAGACAGTGTAATAATATAAGAAAAGGAAAATTTATACATTATCAAGGGTTCACAAGGGTGGGAAGATGGGGGAAGAATGGGAAAAAGCTGATACCAAGGGCTAAAGGAGAAAAAAATGTCTTGGAA